CAATTTATACCCGCAAACTTCTTAATCTCATCTGCCCACCTAACCTTCTGTCTCCCCCTAACCCGCTTCCCTTCTCTGGGAATCCAGTCAGTTACCCTCAATGACCAGCGGTTATCCTGTCTACGCGCTACATGCCCTGCCCATGTCCATTTCTTCTTCTTGATTTCAGCTATGATATCCTTAACCCCCGTTTGTTCCCTAATCCACTCTGCTCTCTTCTTGTCTCTTAAGGTTACACCTACCATTTTTCTTTCCATTGCTCGCTGCGTCGTCCTCAATTTAAGCTGAACCCTCTTTGTAAGTCTCCAGGTTTCTGCTCCGTAGCTAAGTACCGGCAAGATACAGCTGTTATATACCTTCCTCTTGAGGGATAGTGGCAATCTACCTGTCATAATTTGAGAGTGCTTGCCGAATGTGCTCCACCCCATTCTTATTCTTCTAGTTACTTCAATCTCGTGGTTCGGCTCTGCGGTTATTACCTGCCCTAAGCAGACATAGTCTTTTACAACTTGAAGTGCACTATTACCTATCTCGAAGCGCTGCTCCTTGCCGAGGTTGTTGTACATTACTTTAGTTTTCTGCAGATTAATTTTAAGACCCACCTTTCTGCTCTCCTTGTCTAACTCCGTAATCATGAGTTGCAATTCGTCCCCCGAGTTACTCAGCAATGCAATGTCATCGGCGAAGCGCAGGTTACTAAGGTATTCTCTATTGACTCTTATCCCTAACTGTTCCCATTCTAGGCTTCTGAAAACCTCCTGTAAGCACGCGGTAAATAGCATTGGGGAAATTGTGTCCCCCTGCCTTACACCCTTCTTGATTGGTATTCTGTCGCTTTCTTTATGAAGCACTATGGTAGCAGTTGATCCCCTGTAGATTTCTTCCAGAATGTTTATATATGCTTCATCTACGCCCTGATTCCGCAGTGTTTGCATGACGGCTGATATTTCTACTGAATCAAACGCCTTCTCGTAATCTATGAAGGCTATGTATAGGGGTTTATTATACTCTGAGCATTTCTCTATTATCTGATTGATAGTATGAATGTGGTCGATTGTTGAGTAGCCTGTTCGAAATCCTGCTTGTTCCTTTGGTTGATTGAATTATAATGTTTTCTTTACTCTGTTAGCAATTACCTTTGTAAATAGCTTGTACACTACAGAGAGCAAGCTGATCGGCCTGTAATTAAGCTAATAGAATCAGCTAAAAGGAGGTTATCTGATTGGTGGCTAAAGTCGAGGCACGAGTAAAAATTAAACCCTTCACTGCAAAGTACCAGTCCTCAACCTCACTATTTAGAGCCAAAAAAAATTAATCTAGTTTGTGGTTCACTAAGTATTACAGCTTGTTGGCATTAGCCACCGCCCCATCTAATAGGTACAGCCATATCAATCCATCCATCCATCGTGCTGTGCGAGAGCACTCAACATAAAAATGTTGATTCTCAGCTATGCTTTCAACAATAACATGAAATGTCAGCTGTACCTGTGCATTGTTTACATGGACATTGTTTTGAATGAAACCAGGTATGGCTTTCTTTTTTGGGGGGCATCACGTATATTCTTTTTGTCCACATTTCTATAAACAGCACACAGACGAAAAGACTTTTAGGTTGCTCTTTTATGTAGTGCAATTTTAAAAATAAAGTATTTCTCAAATCACATACATACAGACAAACACTTCATAAAGAGCCAGATTTTCTATTTAAATGAGGCTGACACTTCAAATGGCGTAACTAGTTTAGAATGATCACAAAGAATTGCTAACTTAATCTATAGAAAAAAGTGGTGTAGCAGTGTGTGTTGTATGAAGAAAAACACAATTTGCTGCATAGCTCTTCAAGTACAGTATAAATGCAAGGGAACCATTTACATTTTGCGGTGGTTCCAAGTGTAGAACGTCGTCTTTTCAAGTTGATCCTATCCTTACCTCTCTGTTTTACTGGTACATGCCGATTTTGTGTTGGGCGACAGTGGTGTACATGATGCGCAGATTTCCGAGATGCCACCAAGGAAACCAGGTTTCATGCATATAATTGTCTTATCCGGCCGTCACTAGAATACGGTTCAATCATATGGCATCCTCAGGGCGCAAACCTAACTAGCCTTTTGGAATCTGTCCAGAACAAGGCAACCCGGTTCATCACGTCCTCGTACTCACGTTACCAAAGCGTATCTTCTTTAAAGATTTCACTTCATCTTCCCTCGCTTGCCATGCGCCGAAAGTTGGCTCGACTATCTTTTTTTCATTCGCTGTACCACAGTAGCACGCCGTTTTCCCAGCTTCATATCATTCCACCACCTCATATCTCCGCCCGGATAGACCACACTTTCAAAGTTAAACCAATTTTCGCTAAAACAGAAAGATATAAAAACTCTCCTTTAGTCCTTGCAATCGCAGAATGGAACGCGTTACCTGCTCAAATCACAGAACTGTCCGATTCATCATCTTTTCAACATGCACTCAAAACCTTTCTTGAAGTTCTTTGATGACGCATAAATCTTTATTTTGTTTTTCTTCTTCTTCTATGTTTCTCTCTGTATTTTTTTTTCTTTTTTTTTTGCACACTGTTGTTGAGTGTACTGATCGCGCTTTTTTGTTCTTGTTTACTGTTTTAAAGTGCATTTCGCGTGAACCCCTTTTTTCATTCAATGTAATCTATTGTTGTTTGGCGTTGTTTCTGGATTGCACTTTCAGTTTCTCGATGCAGTAGACATGTATACCATCTCTGCCTTCATTTATGTTCTGTACTGTACTTGTGATCATAACCCCACTCTATACCCCCCTATGTAATGCCCATTCGGGCCTTTAGGGTATTTAAATAAATAAAATAAATAAATAAATGCTGCCTGTGCATAGAGGTAAGTGCTTGATACACTAGGACGAAGACATAACTTTAACAATAGTCTGGCTCTGTATGGGGTGTTTGTCCGTATGTGTGTGATGTTGTTATTAATGTGGAAATGTTTGCTGCTATGAGTACGACTGAAAGAGCTACGGTCAAGATTCTTGCGGCATAGTGTCGTGCCATGACAATGTAGAAATCGTCGTTGCACAATGTCAACACTAACAGGCATAGTGGCCTGCTTTTTTGCAAACTTCTCAATATGAGGTGTCACCATTACGTCACTCAAATAAATTGTGAAGGGCAGCATTACACATGCAAATTCAATAGACCCTAACACTAAGGTGGTGTTCTCTTCCGTTCCGGCGCATTTGGCAACTAATATTTAGAACACGGATATGCCGTGTTGATGCCTATGTTATTCAATCATATGCAATCACGGAAAGTGTGGTTTGGTCGGCAATTGAATCCGATGCTGCTTCTATGACTGGAGACTGATCTACCATGAAACTAATCCAACATTTCTCTTGAAAATCTGTATCCACGCGGCTGCAGCATTGCATCCAAAATGCATTATAATATACGATTAAGCCTCAATTTCTCGAGGAGGAATAAAGCAACCATGTGCACTGCAGAATGCCTGGTTGACTATCTTCCATTTGATTGTGATCTGCCACATGACCTGGCTATGCATCTCTTAAAGAAGTACTCCATTTCATGAATGTAATGGAACTGAAGAACTCAAGGGAAATCAATGAGTTGGCATCGTGTATAAAGCTCTTTGAAAGAGAGCAATTTCTGAACACTTGAAACTTGACTGTGATTGAAGGTACCTTTTCAACATCTTCCAAACCATGAGTCATTAGTAGCTGATGATTTAATATGATGTTTGGACATGCCGTTTGTGTTGGCCAAAGTGCTCTTATCAAAATGTGTAATATGTAAATTTTATAATTCAATTACTCGTACAGCATCAATGCGTAGTGGCGCTTGCCAGAAGCACCTAGGATAGAAAAGACACAACCACTTGTTCACATGTGATTAATTAAAAGTGAAGTTGTAAATAACCAGCGCAGTCCAGCAAAGAAGAGATTATTATTTGGTTTAGATTTTTTGCAACAAGAAGATGCTTTTGTAAAAGCAAAATTACTAATGCGTCACATGTTAGGAGTGTCGGCTGTCCCTTTGCATCTGGATTAAGAACATTGTTCTGTGTTAGAGTAGTGGACAGATGGGTAGGGTGCTTATGCAAAAGCTTCGCTTCACTCCAGTAAACACTCATGAGCCATCTGTGCATGCGTGAACATGCCGTTTGCACAAAGGTTGTTCAAGCAGTGCTGCAATTTGTCACCTCGTTACATTGTTGTCATGATGTCCTCATCCTTGTTTGCTGCCTCCAGCCGGTCTAAGAACTGGCTAACCTCCCTGTCCTTCCTCATTTATTCCTCGTCCTCCTTTTGCAGAACCACCTATGCAAGCCATGAAACAAAAGCAGTACTGTGCAGTCCCTGGCTGCCCAAGTGCAAGGGGCAGCAGTGCTGTCTTTCAGTCTGGATTGTTCTACAGGTTTACAAGTGAGAATGAGTGGAAGGAGAAGTGGATGAAAGTGCGGGGGGTTGCGAGCATTCGAAGCTACTTCAAAGTGTGCTCATTGCACTTTTCCGAAGACTCTTTCCAGGGCTGGTTTGAAGCTCTGGCATAAGCTGGCTACAAGTTACTAAAGCTTTGTCGCGACGCTGTACTAACACATCGCACTATCGAACATGCGCCTGAAGACGCCCATGGCGCTTTGCAGGTGCAAGGTGCATGACGACATGAGTGTAAGCATACCTTAACACTTAAAGGTCGCGTTGTCCGATGCTGGTGTGTTCAACGCTGTTGCGAGTCAGCTAAATAGTAATAGTATGCCTCCGTATCCTTTTATGATGACCTTGAGTGAGATATACAAACATACGATATTGCAATGCCACTTGCTGGTGAAAACTGCCGCCTTACCTTCACAAGAGACCTTGTGAGGCAGTAGTACCCAAATTTGCCTCGCGTTGTCAGCTTATTTCTTCGTTGGTGCCACATTTAGATTTACCCCACATATCTCGCAGAACCCACATGTTTTTTATCAGTCATATATATTTTACAGGATTTCAGTGCCAAAGGATCTTTTTGTCCACTTTTATTTCTTCACATTCACATAACAATAACTATCTATAACATCCCCTATGCTTTCGTTGACATTATTGTCTGTTAGTCATTATTATTGTGTCTAAAGAAAAAAAAACACAGCCCCTAAGTTTACACTTACTTCCTTCATATTCCTTTCAACCCACTTGATTTGAAATTATTCAATCAATTCACTGTTTGCTGAGAATTAGCTTCAAACCTAAAATTTACTATTCGCACATCCCTACAATACACATAAAGCATGAGAAGCTAGCATTACTCGAAGTGCTGCAAGTACCTCACCTTATGTTATTGCTGTTGTAACACCCTTCTCATTATTTGTGCTTCTAGGTTGAACCAGTGGTGTAGACCATGACACAGAGGAGGTGTTGTTGTGTAGTGCCTGGAACCCAAACGGCAGTGGGAGCTCTGTCTCCTTGTCGACATCGTTCTATGATTTTCCATCCGAGAATGATTTGAAGCGGACGTGGTAGAAAGTGCTGGGTGTTCTGAGGGACACGAGCCACGGGGTGGTGTGCTCTTTGCACTTCAGTGAAGGCTGTTCTGAGATCCAGCTTGAGGCTGTGGTACAGGCTGTCTACGAGACACGGCAGCTTCGTTGCGGAACCTGGAACCTGTACATTGAAGGAACATGCTGTCACACTTCTGTACGCAGTGATTCAAAACTAGAGTAAAATATCCCTCAACAATTCGAGTCTCTTGAATCACTGAGAAGTTTTTCGGCTGCAACATCACCACCAGAAAGGAAAAAGAGACACTCAAAATGTGCATACTATTGAAAGAGTGTCAAAGATTTTGCATTGAAGCAGCGCACATGAGATGAGGATGAAGAAAAAGGTGAGCACAAACAGGGGCTGTTGGAAATTGTGTGCGGCACAGACATAAAGATGAAAAAGAAGGGTAGCATTGTTGAGGCAGGACGAGTGGACCGGTACTACCGGCTCTGTGACATGAAGTGGATGAGTAAACAACGTTCATGCACGGCCACATTCCAAGTTTTGACTTACTGTCAAGATAAGTCAGAACTGGGATCAGCGGTAGTCTTATGCAAATGGAAGCCACTATGCTTTTGCAAGAGAGTAAAATCCAAGCATTCAGTGTACACAAATGTTCCCTTTAACAGTGTACCCATCTGTACATACAGCATGTTGTGTGTGCACATTCTTGAGTATGCGTGGTCATGCAAGCTGTTAGGGGAATCCTATACGTAATTTAAAAAACTCAATAAAGGCTGATTTTAGCCACCCTAGCCTTGATGCTTATTGTTAGTATTGTTTTTTAATGATGTTTCCACTCCTGCATGGGACCGTGTAGGCCTGTAAACAAATAAATATAAATCAATACAAATGAGCATTGAAGGCCTGTTCGAAAACTGGCACTCAGCCAGTTTTCAGGACCCAACTGACGGTTTGCTTGCGTGGTAGTTCTGTACAAAACTGGAAGTTAGTAGCTTATTCTTATTGTTTGCACCATTATCTTTTCACCATAATGAATTTTCAACAATTAACCTTCATTGACCTCCCACCCCAACGAAAGATGCATTTTTCGTCCACGTTGAACTATCGGAAGTCGAATCTTTCTGGAAAAAAAAAAAACTTTCTTTGATGACAAAATTACTTTATTGTTGATATGGAATGTAAAACACATATAATTTGGGAAGAGTTCGTCAAATGAAAATTAAAGAAACAGTATTTTAGCGTCGGCATTACTCAATAGTATTTCTGTGTGTGTTACTTCTTGAAAACGGGCCCACAATTCATGCCGAAGAGTCATCACTGTCGGTGTGATGATAATGAGCAGTGCATTCATCCGCATTGCTCCTTGGCCGTGCATTTGAAGAACTCGAAATAAACTTACCAAACAAAAAGAGGGAAAATACCTTGTGACCGTTGGGGATAAACAAGATAAGGGCAGCGAGAAGAAAAATGCAATGCAACTTTCACCGCCATTAAGGATGAAGATTAAGTTTCATGTGCCTCCATCGTAATTGCCCAGCGTAACCAAAATCACCACACGGCATAGCCACAGACCGCGTGAAATGCTGAAGCTAAAGATCACTTCTGCTTATCCCCTTCATAAGATAGCACAATCCCGATTACAAACTATTTCATACGCCTCTTGTAAACCCTAGGAAGTAGCAGCCCCTGTCGATAAGCATGCATCGTCACTGGTGCACGACATATCAAATGTAGAGTCAAAAACATTCCCGTACAGCAAAGACCTTGCCGGGTGGCAAACCACCCGACACAGAAACCGCCACCGTACATATGCTGTAAAAACCCTAAAAGAATCAATTTCCTCAGGTTTACATAATAATTACTACAACACTGTTTGACAACTACGAATAACACACCCTGCACGTTCCTTCATTCATACTAGCTGTTAGTTTTCAGTAAGGTTGTACGTGTGACAGGGCTATGAGGTTAGGCGCAACAAGGTTGTTCAAAAGAAGTTCAGCTTTCAGCTGCGATTGTTTATTTGTGTTTTTATAATACTGTTTGCGTGTAAGAACTGCATTGATTCATTATTTTAAGTTTTCTAGCACACCTAAATCTGCCATGCTGTACGAAATTTGTGCATCGAATTTTGCGAAAAACAACAGCTACTGCATGCGAAAATTGAAGTATTTTGACAAATTGTGGTTCTGCGGGAAGGCCGATCGCAGCTTTATAGCGGTTTTACGTCTATATACACGAGATCTTGGTGCATTATCTTAGTCGTGTCTTGGTATATGGTCTTGCTGTACATCTTGTTCCCTCGATCGCACTTCTCATTTCATTCTTAATTTTAAAAAGTTGTATTCACATTATTTCTTTCAAGCTGTGGCCAAGAAAAAGAGCTAGTACTAAAGATTAATACAGGGTGCTACATATTTGCATTATGGCGTATGGCAATGTGGTCTATGATATCAATAACAGTCTCATTCTAGTGCTCAAAGTGACCCTTTTTTTATTGTTTTCTTTCAGGGCTAAACACCACCCTGCAAGGCTCAACTTCTTCCGCTTCAGTAAAACACCTTTCGCTGAAAACAAAAAACTGTCAACGAACAAATTGAAATCCATTCCAATTGAAGCGTTCCATATGCTGCTCCAACAAATCTGTATGATTTCCATACAAGTTTACATAGTATAGTATAGGTGGATTTTGCGCCAATTTCAGACTATTTTATGGGGCCGTTGACCCGAAGATCGAAGGTTTGTTCTCATCTTTAGCGGTCGCGTATGAATGGAGGCGACATGCTAGAGACTCGGGTGCAGTGCGATGTCAGTGCACGTTAAGAACATCAGATTGTTAAAATTTCTCGAGCCCTCCACAACGACATCTCTCATAATCGTATTGCTGATTTGGGATGTTGACTCAGGTATGATTATTGTTATTACAGTGATATGGACAATACATGTGATCATTGGAACTCCTGCTGAATGTTTCAGTAGGAATGGACTCTCAATGTCAAAGCTTTCCCTGTGATTTTCATAGCTTGAGCAGTGTGTCTGTGCATTTTTCATAGTTGGGATGTGGCATGCCGCATGTACTACCAACTCTGTTGCTTCCAGTATTGAAGAGAATTGCAATGCCTGTATTTATTTAGAGCACTAAGAGTAGGCTTGGACCTTGGTTTAAAGGGCATTTTTATGAATGTGACCTCAGTACTTCTTTATTGCCATTTTTTTTAAATTACTATATTTGCTGCTTGTGTGTCTTATTTGAGTGGCATTAGGAAGGTCGAATGCACTTGGTGATGTAATCTGTCCCGTTTTGCTGATACACTCAAACCTCGGCGTAACGAACCCAGATATGACGAAATGTCGGTTATAACAAAGTAAATGAAGAGTAGTCGTGCAATAAATGCGATGTTAGGAATACACCCATATATTAAATTTTTGGTTATAACAAACTTATTTTTGTGTAATATGCAACTTCTTATAATGCAGTATTTATACCTAGGCGTACATAAAACACCAACTTGTCTTGGAATACCCGTGTTGACTACGTAATTGGGAATGCTAACTGTACTCTAGGCTACTTACGCCGTAACTTGTCATCTGCACCTCCATCTCTAAAAAAGCACCTCTGTGCTACCCTTCAAAGACCTAAACTATAAAGGATGCATGCATCATTTGGGACACTACTACTGACAAACTAATATCTTCATTAAAATGTGTAAAAAATATTTCAGCTCGCCTCATCTTATGTAATCATAACAAATGCAAGTGTGTCCGCTATAAAAAACAATCTTCCACTCGTGTGTCTAGTATATCTTTTTGTTGTAAAGTCACACATCTGGTTCTTTTTCACAAAATATTCCGCCATCAAACTCTCTGAAACAAACTCGCTTCCCAGCCGTTTTCTTGACATATCGCCTCAAATGGAACAACGTTACAAAGTTGGTCTTCAAACGTGTCGAACAAAAGCCTCCTTTCAGTCATTGGTAATCCGATCATCTGCTGAATTGAACCACCTTCCCGAAGCCATCGTATCGATCCACGGCAGGCACTTGTTTAAAGAAGCTTTAACTAATATTTTCTAAACTTATTGACTCTTTCTTTTTTTTATTTTGTGCAATACAAGTAAAAGTGAATCTTGATTTTTCTTTCATCTTTTTTTTCATACGTACATATTTCGCGACCTTAGTGCATTTGCCATTATTATCACTTGTCTATTTAAATTTTATGTCTTTGTTACTTTAACTAAGACTGTATAACTACATGCCTTTTGCACAGAAATATTCTATATTCTTTTTTGTTTTTGTGTCAATTTTATAACCACTTCCCTTTTTATTGACCCTGAGGGTTTCAATAGATAAAAAAATAAATGGATATTGTGAGCGCGACAAGCGAATGACTCTTCATTCTCTTTAGATATCCTCATCACCTGTACATCTTCATCATCTGTAAATATCATCACCAGTGTGATTTAGCTCGATCCTGGCTGAATAAACCGGTTCCTCACAAGTGGTGGAGGTGCGGGCTATATTCCCAGCTATATTAACAGTGAATGTGAATGTAAACGTTCCTTTCAAAGGCACTTCTACATTCGCATGTTCTGACAATACTTTTTCTTTCGCCACAGTTGCTGTGTCGGGACCAACAACGGAATTCACTGTGGACATCAAGAAAGAGCCGGACTGCATCGAAGAGAGCAGCTGTGACAACAATGCCCCTTCGAGAGAGAACATCAGGCCTTTGGACTGCCACCTGTGCCCTCACACAGCGAAAACGGCGCATGCCTTGAAGGACCACCTGCTGGCGCACAGCGAAGAAAAGAAGTACGAGTGCTCGACCTGCTCCCGAAGGTTCAGGTACCAGAGAAACCTGAGGCGCCACACGCATTCGCACTGTAGCAAGAAACGGTACAGCTGCAAGAGGTGCTCGCAGGATAAGCCCGACAAGAACGTCCACAATCACCACCTCACGCGGCACCACCACAAGGCCAACAAGGGCTACGCGTGCCCAATGTGTTCGTACCTCACACCTCATCATGCGGACATGGTGAAGCACTTACGGATTCACACGAGTGACAGACCTTTCAAGTACGCCTACGCCACCGCCAATAATAGCGCACTTATCAGGCACACACGCATGCAGCACGAGAATTTAGACTAGGCTTGTGCGAA